AATTAACAATGATTAAGTCTCATTAAAAGCTCAGGTACTACCAGGCACGGTAGTACCCACCTATAGTCCCAGGTACTCAATAGGCTGAAGTGGGAGAATCGTTGAAGTCCAGGAGTTCAACAACCAGCCTAGGCAACATAAACATAGCAAAACCGCTTATCAAAAAAAAAGATGAAAAAGCTCAGGTGACATGAGAAAGAGGGACCACATTCAGTGGTTTATAAGCATCTCAGAGGAAGTGACATTTAGGCAAATAGGTGAAGACTGCTTCCTGCCTAGCTAGTGAAGGAGGGCCGATTCATTCCAGGCAAAGGGAACAGCATGTACAGAGGCCTGCAGTGAGTATGGACCATCCCATAGAGGAAGTGAAAGAGGACTAGCGTGATGGAAGAAAGGAGCGGCAGGAAATGTGGTTAAAGAGATTGGTGGGAGGGGACAGTGGGGACAACAGGCAGATCACTCAGTCTCACAGTCCAATATAAGGAGTTTGGATTTATGCTAACTGCAATAGAACCAGAAGAACTTTTTTTTTTTTTTTTTTTTGAGACGGAGTTTCACTCTTGTTACCCAGACTGGAGTGCAATGGCGCGATCTCGGCTCACCGCAACCTCCACCTCCTGGGTTCAGGCCATTCTCCTGCCTCAACCTCCTCAGTAGCTGGGATTACAGGCACGCGCCACCATGCCCAGCTAATGTTTTTTTTTTTTTTTTTTGGGGGGGACGGAGTTTCGCTCTTGTTACCCAGGCTGGAGTGCAATGGCGCAATCTCGGCTCACCGCAACCTCCGCCTCCTGGGTTCAGGCAATTCTCCTGCCTCAGCCTCCTGAGTAGCTGGGACTACAGACACGCGCCACCATGCCCAGCTAATTTTTTGTAGTTTTAGTAGAGACGGGGTTTCACCATGTTGACCAGGATGGTCTCGATCTCTTGACCTCGTGATCCACCCGCCTCGGCCTCCCAAAGTGCTGGGATTACAGGCTTGAGCTACCGCGCCCGGCATGTTTTTGTATTTTTTAGTAGAGACGGGGTTTCACCGTGTTGACCAGGATGGTCTCGATCTCTTGACCTCGAGATCCACCCGCCTCGGCCTCCCAAAGTGCTGGGATTACAGGCTTGAGCCACCGCGCCCGGCCCCAGAAGAACATTTTAAACAGAAGAATAATGTTATTTCCAATACATTACATTCTAACACTTAAGACCCTAGTAATATGCTCAGGTTTTTGCAAAATATGCAAACTGCATGATTTTTCTTTGAGGACCCCTAGAACTTGCATAAACTTCAGGTCCCATATTTCCCAACTCCATCTCTATATGGGGTAAGTCCTATGTTAGAGGTGAGCACAAGGTGCCAAGGACAAAGCAACTTTACCAGTTTGGTACCAAGAGTTATTTACTGTCAAAATGGATTTTCTTCTTCTTTAGTTCACATTGTCTGGTAACATTCAAAATTGTTCCCTGATCTAATCACAGAAATCATGAAAGCAACAGAGTTCTTTCTGCTGGCCGCCCAAGACGGGACATTTTGCTAGAAAAACACTCAGAAGTTAAAGATAAGATGTGTACAGTTGTCCCTCTCATGAGTGCTACGAAATATAGGGAAACAGTCCCTATTTGTCTTGGGTAGCCTACACAAAGATGCCTCCTATTGTAACATAGCAATGAGTCATGGAGGTAGGTGCAGATGGTAGAAAACACTAAACTAGGGAGAACTGCTTTTCCAGAAGCAAAGGCACTTTAACACACAATCCACCACCACGAATGGAAATCACTTTCCAGTTTCCTTCAGTCCAAAACTTAGGCAGCAACAAAGGCACCAGGAGCCAACAGCTTTGGAAGGTTTAATATGTACTAGCTCATTTAATCTTCACAACTATGCTAAGTAGTTCTATTATTAGCCCCATTTTTGCAGATGAAAAAACCTAAATCTAAGCCTTAAACTAGAAAACTTGAACACACAACAGAGGCCAGGCACGGTGGCTCATGCCCATAATCCCAACACTTTGGGAGGCCAAGGGGGGCAGATCATGAGGTTAGGGGTTCAAGACCAAGTTCAAGTTCTACTAAAAATACAAAATTAGCCTGAGTAATCCCAGCTACTTAAGAGACTGAGGCAGGAGAATCACTTGCACCTGTGAGGTGGAGGTCGCAGTGAGCCGACATCAGGCCACTGGACTCCAGCCTGGACAACAGAGCAAGACTCTGTCTCCAAAACACACACACACACACACACACACACACACACACACACACACAACAGAGCTAGGCTTCAAACCTAGCCTAACTCCAGAGCCCTCACCTCTTAACCACTGTTTAGAACCTCCCAGACCCATCCAAATATGGAGTAGTTTATTCTCATCCTGCTTTTACTGTTTTAATGAAATCCCTCTCCCTTGAGAGAATACAGTTGTGGTGTCACAATTACAACAGAATAACAGGTACTTCTTCTTAGTATCCACATCCAAATCAAATAGGAAAGGATAATCAGGCCATAACATTCAGCCAGAATCCACTGTGGTCAGAACTTGTCCTAACAGTCAGGGCTTTCAGTCTGTTTTAAGAAGGTGAAACACTGGGCCGGGCGCGGTGGCTCAAGCCTTTGGGAGGCCGAGGCGGGTGGATCACGAGGTCAAGAGATCGAGACCATCCTGGTCAACATGGTGAAACCCCGTCTCTACTAAAAATACAAAAAATTAGCTGGGCATGGTGGCACATGC